ATTTAAGCTAAACGTTAGCTTCCTTGCTGATATCTCCACATGAAGGTTCAAAATACCCACATAATTCTCCTTCTTCATGATGCCACCAATTTTATGATGTGTACCAGTCTCTCTTGCAGCAAAACAACCAAACTATGTGACACTGCCACCCCCAAGCTTCACGGTCAGGATGGTGTTCTTTGGGATACAAGCCTCACCCTTCTTTCTTCACACATAATGTTTCACAAGATGTGTCCAGGACTGTCTCTTAAGCAGACAGTCCTGGACACATCGCCCTGAAGAAATGTGATGCTTTTTTTATAATTTAAATGTCTTATGCCTAAGTGTATGCAAACCTCCAACCTTAACTGTAAACACTGCAACATTTTTTTCTACTGAAATGTATTTTGCAATTTAAAGTAACATTGTTTGAATATGAGAAGCTAAAATAACTTTAATCTGAAAGGTTGGCAAAACCTGTTGTCTCATCATAAGCTTGTCTGAAATACTTTAAGAGCTCATAATATGCTCATAAAATCTTGTGCAAAGTTATGCACATTGTCCAAGTTAGCAATATTGTGAAGGTAGTATTCATTCTCTCATTTAACAATAGTAAACTTAACAAGAAGATGTAACATTACCTGTGAGGGTGTGTCTGTTTCGTTGATGGGTTGGCCATCAAATCGAAATCGTATTTGCCTCATTGAAAGCCCCTGTGTAGACAGGCAGAGAAACATAAGGTTTAAAATAATGAAAACCACCCTGGTGACCCAGAGGTTGTTGAAACCACCACTGTATATAAAAAATGAGCGACACATCACTACTTCCTGCCATTATGCAAGGTGAACCTAAAATACTGCCAATACAGGGGACTGCCATCTTGCTTTTGTGATGCATTTTGCAACCAGTAGAGACCAGAGGTAGAGGCACAGTATCAGACCACCAAACAAAGCTGTCAAATCATCCAGAATCAACCCATTTATATATAACCTAATGTATTTTCAAACTAATATATAGGAAAATTTACCACTTATACACAAATCAGTGTGACAATATCTACCTAAAACGACAGAATCACCTTTTTAATTTTTTTTTTATTTATATTTAGAATTTTTAGCTCTAACATGGAGGAGAATGTGTAAATGACCAACAACCAGCCACCAGGGGGCGATGGAATTGTATACTTTTGGGAGATGTTACAAGGCCATCTTTAATATACAGTCAGTGATAACCACCACCAAGGTTTTGTGGAAACTAGAGAGAGATGGTCAAGTTGGCAAACTTTTTCCTCAATTAAGGCCCCACAGTGCCACATAAATAACAGGCGCTTTGAAACCATTTCTGGCGTTCTTTGAAGTCTGCTTAGGGTCATTGTGCAAGATCCATGACCTCTGATAGAGACACTAGGCCCACAGTCAGCCACAGAATTCAGGTAGTCTTCAGATTTCATAATGCCATACACACAGTCAAGACATCCAGTGCCTGAAGCAGCAAAGCAATCCCAAAACATCAGTGAAGCTCCACCGTGTTTGACTGTAGGGACCATGTTCTTTATTTTGAAGGCCTCATTTCATTTTCTGAAAACAGCAGAATGATGTGCTCGACCAAGAAGCTCAAATTTTAGACTCATCTGTCCACAGGACATTCTCCCAGAAAGATCGTGGCTTCCTCAGGTAAATTTTGGCAAACTTTAATCTGACTTTTTTTATGTTTCTGCGGTGGGGCCCCCCTGGGTCTCCTACCATAGCATCCCTTGTCATTCAGATGGCGACAGATAGTGTGAGCTGATAACTAGGGTCTCTCTATTATTTGGCTAGGTCTCCCTGGATCCCTCCGCTGACTCCATGCCCTCTGGTTTGAGAATTACCTATTCAGGCAACCAGCACCACAAAGAACTTATAAAAGACTTTTTTTGAGTGGCATTACAATTGTGTAGTAGCCTCACCTGCCGTTCACAATAAGCTTTCATCAGTTTGCTGAGAGGAGTGTGCCTTTTGATTTTGAACTGCACCACTGAGCCATCCTGCCCTGCCACCTTCAGATTGATGTGCTCATTGTTCTCCGTCTTCACTCCCTCCTGAAAGAAAACAGTTTACAAAAAGTTGCATAACTTTCAAAAACGCCGTAATGACATACAAGAAGCCTGTTAATAAGTGACCTTTAGCATGCGCAATGCTACATCTGTCTGTGTCTGCACTAACTTGAGAACTGATGTTGCGCAGCCCAGGGGCAACTTCAACATTAGCTTTTAGCATTAAGCAAGTCAAATCACAATGGCCTAGACCTACAATGTCCAGCGGCCTAACGAGGACGAAATTACATCTTGTATGTATCAGCAATCCCTCGTATCCCGACACGCTTGAGAGTGAGCTAGTGATGAATAAATAAACCATTTCATATGGGATCTGTTAACAGTCAACACAGATTAACGGTCCTTGCCAACGCAATTCATTTCGGCCCGTTGCTGTTGCACACCGGTTGTACAGTTAATCAGTTTTCTCTGTTTCTTGCTATCTGGGCAAGCAATTACTAAATCGCTGCATGTTACACGTAGACAACTAGTACTTATATAAGCATTTAAGAGATGTTAGTTAAGTACATTTAAAAGACCCATAATTAGAATTTCTTTCAGTCAGCCCGGGTATCAGGTACGTTAGCCACGTTAGCTTATTATGCTAACTCTACCCACGAGCTTGCTAGCGCCGGTTTGTGTTAGCATTGTCTAATTATGCGACCGCTGCCGAACTGGTCGGATTTTCACTGTCATCTCCACGGTTAGCGAACAAGGTTTGGGTATAAACTATAAAGAAACCCTCATACAAAGTGAACTCCTCACCTTTGGCTTCTCGTCTGCCATGGTTGCTTGTGTGTCTGTCTGCGCCTGTTGTACTGCGGCTGCGCTGTCTGGCGCGCCAGTGTGCATAGTGGACACAGCTGCGCCAGATCAAAAGCGCGCTCTTAAAATGTACTATGCCAAACTCCGGCATCCTTTCAGTTTACAATGAAACTATGTTTGCACAGAAAAAAAAAACCAAGATGATGATGCAGCATTTTAAGTTAATTCAAAATGTATGACAGTTTAGGTACTTGTAGTTTACTTGAGTATTTGCATTGGTTTTCTTAGCCTACAATTTTACACTTCTAGTCCACATTTCAAAGGCCAAGGCTGTTTTAAACTCCGCTACATTTATGTGACAGCTGTAGCCTGGATCAGCAGATTCAGATTTTACACACAGAACCATAGCTAAGCTTATTACCTGCCCAACAGTGTATGAAATATTAAAATGGTTTTAAAAAGCTCCAGCTCAACCAGCTACAATGCTTCTGCAATAATACTGGACTTTTATAATATATAATAACAACGGATGATTCTACTGCATAAGTTACTTGCAGAACGTTTAAATTTAATGGAGTTACCTGTGAACTTTATACTCAAGCAAAGAACATAATTATGATAAACAGCAACATGAAAATACAGTACATGGAGCAACATTGTTAATATGGCGCTGCACTGAAAAATGAAGCTAAATCTGTGAAAACAGTAATACAAAAAGATCCATCTTATTCTTTATTTTTTTCATGCGCAAATACCTTTTCAAAAATATGCAATGACAACTCCATTTAACATACAAGACAAATTTTATAACAAATATCTCATACAGCATTATTATCCCCACAGACAAAAAAAAAAAAGTTGTCACAGTTTTTGACACCTGGTAAGCCTAATGCTTTGAATTAACCTCCAAGCTTTTTAAAACTAACTATTAATATATTTTCTCAAGGTTTACTCAAACAATTATTTCCTGTTTTGATATCAGAAACCCCTACACAAGCTCAACATTTACAGCGGTCTCGGGGAAAATATCAGCTTGGCTTCCACAACATGGTATTTTATCAACTTTAAAATAGCCTTCACTTTCCCAGGGTTATCAGATGGTCCTTGCCCCTAATAGCTAATGTTGTACTTGCCATGGAAATAGGGGCTAATGTCTCAGGCATGAGACTGCTGTTTTATCTGGCATGAATTACATCTTTGTATTAAAATACTTTCCAGAGCTCACCCCACTGTTATGACCAAATGCAACACATTATAAAATGACTGTCTGAATATTTGCAATATTAAAGCCTTTTAGACAAGCCATTACTGATTTGTGCCTTCTTTGCTGCAATACTGGAAGTGTCTATTATTAAAAAACAAACTTAAAAAATATGCTGGAGTTAAAGTTATAGTAACATAACCAATCTGATACCACCCTACCCAAACAAAAATAAATAACACAATCATGACAATAAATACTGAAAAAATAAAAAACATAACAAGAGAACAGTTAAAGTATTCAGTAGCAATTTAACCGTACTGAAAATGAGTGTAACTGATTCTTAAAGAGCCAGCGGGAGAGTATGTGTTATTTAGAAACAGAGCATCTCTTGTCTGCTCCTGTCAAATATCTTCAGCATGTAATATTCTTATCCTACACAGTCAGCAGCAAATCATGTGAAATGCAGTTTGGGATTACATAGTCGGGTGACCTGAAAAAAAAAAACTTAGGAAAAAAAATCAACTGGACTAGGTTTTTAGGTCGAAGACGTTTCACCTCATCCAAGAGGCTTCATCAGAACTGGTGAAACGTCTTCGACCTAAAAACCTAGTCCAGTTGAAGTTTTTTTCAGCTTACTATGACCTGGATGATTGAGAATCCGCATGGACATAGTCAAGTGACCCTGACTCTACAACCACCTCCCTTCAAATGTGTATTTGCTCTATGTTAAGACTGCCTGGCATCCAAAAGTGCAATTTTCTAGTCACTTCTGATGTTAACGGGGATAGATGCAACTATGAACATTAAAATGAGAGCAAAAAGGTATAATAACAGTAATAGTTTAATAATAATAATTTAGCTACATTTTCCCACAAACCCATTAACCGGGTTCTACCAGTTTGGTACTGCACCACACTGACACCTCTGGCACTGTAGAAAAATGTAAGTTCAATGTACGCTACAGAACTTTGGCTGCTTCAGTGGGGCATCTAAACCAGAAAAACATCTTCAATGTTTATTAAAGTTTACATCCTTCAATTTTTCCCAAAAAGCCTTCCAATACTGCCCTTTCCTTTGACCTCTGCACTTACCAACTAATTTGTTAAAGAGGTCGCATAGTGTCTGGCCACCCTGAAGAGGTAGGCAGGGCTATAGAGCCCCCCATCTGTCAGCAGGTGGGAATTCATTCACCTCCCCCACTTCTGTGAGTGGCTGCTCTCCCAGAGTGAACGTCAGTTTGTATCTCATCCGAACCTTCTCCTGGAAAACACATACACATGCACACACTCAGACTGACAGCTTTGATTAAATTGCTGAAACATACCACATCTTGAGCACTGACAATGTCACTGATCACTGTATCCTGAAAAGCATATTGACTGGTATGTAAGACTAGCCACTTCACAGAGACACCGCTGCAAACAGCCACCATTTTGACCCTTCTTGAAGGTGGCTTTGTTGACTAAAGCCCTTTTACACTGAACTTTAAAAAGCTAGTAAACGGCCACTGTTGTGATCATTGTACGTAGCTGCTGTCTACTTCACAGCGATTTTGAAAACGAAACAAACAGGCTGTTGTCTGATTTTGTTTTATATATATTTGTAAATGGAAATCGAGAATTACATCAGCTGACTACATGCATCCAATTTCTCGTCTGTGTCTGAAGGTAGGGCTAAACACACACAAAGTGCACCTCACCTCAGAACAGACAGAAGTGTGCATTTTGCCCTTAGGGCCGTGACACACCAAGCTGACAGTTGCCCTCGTCTTCACCGTGTGTCCAACACTGCTAGCACTAGCTGGGCCCTGTCGGTGGCATTTTTGGCCAATTCTGCATGCTGAATTGTTGGGCTGGTCAGTGAGAGAGACCACTCTGATTGGTTGTTCATCTTAGCAAATTATTGCACAGGACGAGAATGGTTCGGGAAAGCCCCTCGAGCCTGTCACTGTAATCTCCATGATTTCACACATTTAGTATAGTTTCTCCTTGTTTTTCACCTCCATGAGCTCCTTTCTTCTTGCACAACCAAAAGACCAAGGGCAGAGAGCACCGGTGCCATTTGCAACTTCTTATCAGACACATTCTTGATTAGAAGCAGCTGCAATGAATGAGATCTGCTTTGTTTATGCTTGTATTTCTGCTGTCTAGGTCTTCTTTCCTTTTCTGAATGGTGACTACAGATACTGCCACCTGCTGGTAGGGGGAGTTAATTTTCTCAGAATGGTGAGGCAGACCCCCCCCATTGAATGGGGGATGTAAAAGGGACTACTGTAAAAAGTGGTAATACTGTAATGTACTATGAGCTCAAACATGGGTGAAAACACTGCTGAAAAAGGGAACTGCTCAATCAGTAGATTACTTAATACATTAATAAATATATGAACATGAAAAAACTTCCAGGCTGAGCTTTACCTTGAGAGGATTGGCAAGCAATATGACCTGAGTGATGGCAGCAGGAGGAAGGATTGGGTTAAAAGGAGCCAACTCTGTCCCTGAGGGTGGCTGGAGTTTCACTTTCATCATCTGGAGAATTGGCAGAACAGACACTGACATTATTTCCCCACTGTGGGTTCAATAAAGTACCTACCTACCTAAAGACAAACAACTACCCACGTTTTTGGGCAAAAATTTCATCTGATGAATCTTCCTTTGAAGTAACAGTGATATCGCAGACACAGCAGGTTTTACCTTAGGTACAGCAGCCTGCAGGACAATGTTCCTGACAGGCTGTGGTGAAGTGTTAAGAACGGATGCCACTATCACCAGTACATCAGGCCTGCCTGGTGGGCAATCAGTAGCAAAATGCAGCAGAACACGGACACCGTTTTTGTCATACGCCGTCACAGGACACACTTTACCTATAATACAGCACATAGAAGAGAAGGAAAATGTGATTAGCACAGTGACTGATGAGACAGAGAAGATTCACTGTGCACACTCATATGAGTCAGCTGGTATTGTTTTTTTTTTTTCCTTTACAAGTATAGTCTTTTCATAAAAATGACACTTCATATTGCTCCCAGTGTAATCTGTACTGAAGCATATTGTAATACACATCCTTCCTTCTGCACATGTTGTGAAAATTGTTTTCACGTCCCAATAACTGGTGTAATTATGGACAATATCATCCAGCAGTTTTTCAAGTTTGACGAAGTTTTTCCACTGTCACCACTAAGTGGCAGCAAGGTCCAAAGTTCAGTTTTCTAACCGCCAGTCCCAGATAAGGAGGAAGATGTTAATTTCTGACTAGATTGTCCTCCTCCTTAACTGTCATGGAGAATTGTACTGAAATACTGAGCAGTCAATTCGTTATAGACACTATGTAATCTGTGCAGAGTTGAATCGGTTACAGAGCTGTAATGATTAGTCGATTAATTTGTTAGATGATCAACAGAAAATTAAAACTGAAACAATTTTAACAATTAAATACTTCAGTCACATTTTAAAGCAAAGATGGCAAATATTTGCTGATTTCAGATTATTAATTATGAAGGTTTGGTGAATTTATTTGTTGTACATGACAGTAAATGAAATATCTTTGGATTCTGGACTGCTGGTTAGACAAAACAAGACATCTGATGTTACCTTGCACTATGAGAACTTCAAACTGGCATTTTTCATTTAGTGGACAAAATGAATTGATTAAAATAAATCAATAAATGGAGAAAACAATCATCAGATTAATCAGTACTGAAAATAGCTGCAGCCCTACCAGTAATATTATTCACAAATGGCACTGAATGTACTCTACATTTAGCCTTTTCTGCTACAGATTTCACTGCCAAGACAGAGCTCATGACCATCTCTCCAATTTCTGACAAGGCTGTGAAATTTGGATGGACTGAAATCTGATAGTGTGATATCCCTCTTTGTATCACATTCTGTGAAGCTTTTCCTATACACCAAAAGCTATAAAACATTTGAAAGTCCTATAACACACACACACACACACACACACACACACAAGCATTGAAACAATTTCCTGGAACTCACTTGGCTTGATGGCATCCAAAGGGACAAAGCTGTTGGCCAGGGACACTTCCTGTCCCCTTGCCGGACTGGCCTGGTTCAGAGGGAGGATGGGTGAAAGAGAACGTAACAGAGGGCTGTCATCTGCTCGGCTCCTGGCAAGTGGAGGAGTGGACCCTCCTTGCATCCCTCCTATTAGCAGTGCGGTGGATGTGGTGGAGGAGACACCAGCAGCAGAGGAGAGTGCAGCAGGAGCGTGGAGATCCTCACTCTTGACCAGAAGGCTGCCAAAGTCCATTCCACCCGGGGTACTGTGTGAATAACTCAACAGTTTTAGTGTCCAAGTCAAAGATATTATATAGGTCTCATTTACTACCCATTTAGATTTGTTATTGCTCATCTACTTTATATTTCACTTGTACGGTGTGGCGCTCATGTGGACGAAGTAAGAATTTCATTGTACAGGGAAACACGTTTCCTAACTGTGCATATGAAAAATAAACACTTTGACCTTTAAAGTTTAAACTTATAATGACTGACAAATGTTAACAACAAAGTAACAAAAGCAGGATGAATTGAAATAATGCCTGAAATTTCACAACAAACATTATGCAGTCAGGTTTAATAATCATGAGTGGAATGGAAAGGCACTTGGCTGCAATTACATATAAAAGGCAGCTGAGTTCTGGACAAGTGGGAGCAAGACACTTAGCATGAGCACTTTTAAACAATCAGTCACAATCTTCTCATGTTCATTAAAAAAACAACACGTGCTCTTATGTTTTATAATGTAATCTGGACAGTACTCTCAAAAACATTAAATGCATTTTACCATCTGAGAGACAATGCTCAAAACATAGCTCATTAGGTGGACGCAGGGTGACCCAAGAATGACTGCTAATCCAGTTCACTAGCTAGGGCCCACCCTCAGCGCATGAAAGAAGAATGGTGCTTGGTGTAAACTTAGTTATGAACTGCGGTTTTGGGGGAGGAAGGCTTCGGGGAAGCAAAAGAGGAATTGAGTAGTTTAAATATGACTGGGAGCGGAAGGGGTCTGAGTTTCGGGGTTGCCCTGCTGCTGAACTTCAGATTGAAAATCTCCAGTTAATGGAGCCATGGGGACCAAGCTGCCATTCGGAAACTAGTAACTAAGATCCCCTTAAGACTTCATATATCAAAGAAATCACAGTTAAACATCACAGTGAGGAAATGTGTCTTTTGTGTGTTTAGACACCCACTCAGGCCAATCAGTGGAAAGGAACAAGGGCATCTTTCATTTACTGAGATTATTTAAAAAAAAATAGAAACCAGCATCCAACATATTATGTGTGACAGGTGGAGTAACTGATGCCGATCCATAACCTACTCCCCAGTTTTAATTTGAGACACAAGTACTACTCACATTTTAGGACTGCTCAGATCCAGCAAGGCAAGGTCTTGCAGATTGTGACTGAGAGAAGTAGAAGGAGCATGTGAAGCTCCAAATGAAGCGGTGACCTGCTGTGGAGTGACAAAGGTGGCTGAGGGAGCGGCTGAGGCCACGCTGAATGACTGAGGAAGAGCAGCTGGGGGTAAGGTGGTCATTACTGAACTGACCGGCTGAGGGAACATGACTGATTTTGTTGAGACAGATTTTGCAGAAACTGGAGGTGTGGAGAAGATGGGGCCAGGGAAGCTCAAGGCAGAGGTCATTGTAGAAGACCTGGAAGGGCTAACTGGGACTACTGGTGCAGAGAGAGCATCTGGAAAAATTGAAGATGTGGAAAATATAGGACCCAAAGCGGAAGTAGAGTCACAAAGATGCAAATCCTTACTGGGATCCTGCAAAACATTAGTAAAAAGCACTACTATTACCAATAAGATAACACTTGGCATTAGTATTAGTAAGATTGCAATTAATTTAAATACCTGATAAGATGGTAAATGATTGCTCAGGTTTGTTGTTACGGTTGATTTACTTGGAACAGAAATGGGTTCGCTGAGGCCTACAAAGGAACACAAATGTGTCAAAACATGTTATATCCTCATGTAAATAAGATATTACCAAACAGTCTGAGGTATCCAATGTCACCATAAAAAACAATGAATAATTAGAAACAATGATTCCTATGACATTGCAGTGCATGTTACCTAAAGACAGTAGCTCATCATCCAGCAGACTGAGTGCTGCAGAGGGTCTGCTGGCTGTCAGAGACTGAGGGTCGGTGGCAGCAGGTCCACACAGCAGGCCAGTGGGAACAAACAGTGAAGATGATGGGGGTTTCTGGTCTGGTGGAGAGGGGCTCTGGTCATCCAGACCTACCAGGTCAATTAGAATCTCTGACCGGTTTGTGTGGCCAGTGCCTGTAAAATGGAGAAAACCACTAGCAATAAGAGACCAAAGATGTGTTGTACTGGATCTTTGTTTGTGCATATTACTGCACAATTCAAAAAAATATATGATCAGTGCCAAGTTTCTCCACCTATCAGCTTTTATGTTGACATGTGTCCACTGTGTATTCTTCAGTGCGATACACAAAAAAATGTTAAACTTACATAGACCATGTATGTCTTTTATAGGAAGTGGAAATGTTAGAAACTCAGAGGCCAAATGGCACAAGTATTAGCGTTTTCACCTCGTAACTGAACAGCCCAGCCAGGTTAAATTTACCTTTTCTGACCAACGCTTGTGTTTGTTGTGCTTCTACAGTCTCTCCATTGGTTGTCTGCCCTTCTACAATCTTCTTATAGGAATTAATGGCATGGGTGAGATCATCGCTGGCCTGCAGGATGGCTCCTGATAAGTGCATTATCAATTGTTAGACTGGGGTGAGGTTGAAACAATAACATAAATGTCTCACTATCTCAAGATATTGGTCTCACGTTAAGGCAAGGCCAATCATGACTCAGTGCTTTTATACTTAAATAACAATAGGTACAGTACGTCAGCAGAATCACCAAGTGTAAGATACAGGCGTTCTTACCCAAGCTGCTGTCATTATCCTCGGTCTCAGTAGCAAGCTGGACTATTGTTTGCCTAAGCTTGTCACAATCACCATACAATTCCTGGAAAAAAAAGAATGAAAATAATAACAATAATAACTGAATACCCGCAACGTTAACCTTGTAACATATGATGTAAAAAGACAAGAGTTTCATATGCATAATAAATGTCATTTAAGACTATGACATGAAAAATGTTATGTTTATGAATCTGAAAAGGATTTAAATCCACTACCAGTCAAACATTTGGACACACTTTCCCACATTAGGAAACTTTTGACTGGCAGTGCACATTACTCTTTTAAATACATTTTTTCATTGTACATCTTTGAGTATATTGTTTTGCTTAGCAGAGAACTCAGGTTTTGTCTCTGAATGCAGTTTCTTTGCTGTCTGCAAGGTCAAACAGCAGTATACAGTCATGGTAAAAAGAACACCCTCCTTCAGTTCTATAGTTTTATTCATCACGGGCTCAAACAAAATTGTGTGGCCCTCATCAAATTCTAAAAACAAAAAATATAGTAAAAACCTCAGGTGACAAAAACAAACAAGATTTCAATATGTGGTTACTGTTTACCAAAAGTAAACTAATATTCAGAAACCAGGTGGGAAAATAAAAGCACATCCTTCCTACTTCGACAATCATTAAAAGGGTAATTAGCAGTTGGGTGTTACTAATTACTGATGTACATGATTAATCAGTCTTTAAGAAGTGTGACTAACTCTATTAAAGCAGAACTTTTGTCAGTTTGGTGCACTGGAGCACCGAGGCATGTGTCTACATCATGCCAAGTACAAAGGACATCAGCCGTGGCCTCAGAGAAGCAGTTGTCTCTTCTTATCCATCTGGGAAGGGTTTTAAGGCCATCTCTAAGCAATTTCAGATTCACTGGTCTACAGTGAGAAAGACTGTTTACAAATGAAGAGCCTTCAAGACAGCTGCCAATCTTCCCAGGAGTGGGTGTCCCACAAACTCAGTCCAAGGTCAGATTGTTTAAAGGCCAGAGAGACAGAAAAAAACAAAAGCTTCATCATCTGACCTGGAGGCCTCTGTAAGCACATTAAAATGTTTATGTTCATGGCAGCACAATTACAAAAAAAAAAAACTGAACAAAAATGGCTTTCACAAGAAGGTGTCCAGGAAAAAGCTCCTTCTCTCCAGAAGAATATGGCAGCAGCACTGCTTAGGCCTGTAAAACTGCACCTGAAGAACCACAAAAGTTCCAGAACAATGTCTCTGGACTGAGACCGCAGCAAAGCTGTTTGGTAGTCATGCCCAGCGTCATGTCTGGTGAATAACATACTGCATATCACCAAAAACACCTCATATCTAGTTATATAATAAGATTTAAGTTACAGTTTTGTCATCATTAGTATTTCTTTAATATTTTTCCCCATTATTTGACAAAGCATTGTCTTTTTAAATGAATAAACATTACACTAAAAATTCCAGCAGGCAATACATTTTTTTAGATTTTAAAAATAATGTAACTTTTACAGTACGATTACTTGTAGCTTAGAATTCGGAAAAACGTTACTTAAAAACCAAACAGCTCCATTTCTAATTTCTGTTAATTTTTTTTAAATGTCTCTTGGACATTTTGGCCACTGTTCAGTTTGTCTGTGGAAATGTTTGCTTGTCCAATACCACACCTGAGATCAGACTCAGTGCAGTTAAAAAGACCCGAGTGTACACACGGAGGTCTGCTCAGCTGACGGCACAGCCCGGAGAGCCGTTCACGGCCCCGATGCGCTGGTCCAGCTCAGATAACTATGGGCTAGTCTGTCCTCCTCACTGGTCAGCGTCTCTCTTCCGTGTTTGTTTTGTTGCCTTAGATTTGAGCTCGAACCATCTTTTTAATTCATCGGTTGTGCGGCCTTCTCCTTATACAGCGTTCACTGAACGAGTAAGAGCATCCAGTGCATCTTTTTGTTTTATATCCACTACTGACCCTGATAAATCATCATCAACTTTATTTATATAGCACGTTTAACACAGCCGAAGCTGACCAAAGTGCTTAACACAATATCACTAAAACCCGTTAAAACACAATAAAACAAGCAGAAGCAATAAACACAACAATAAAACAGGATCACACTAAAACAACCACCCATCATAAAACAAAAAAGCTCAACAAGACAGAGGCTCATACTGGTTCGAACGCCAAACGGTACAGATGAGTCTTCAAATAAGTTTTAAAAGTGGACAACGAGAGGGCCTGCCTAATGTAAAGGGGCAGTGCATTCCACAACTTAGGAGCCCCCACAGAGAATGCTCTGTCCCCCCTAAGTCTCTGCCTAGCCCTCGGTGTCTCCAAGAGCAGCTGATCAGCTGATCTGAGGCACCGAGAGGGGCTATAGGGATGCAGCAATTCTGTAAGATAAAGGGGGGCCAGACCATTTAAAGACTTAAAAACAAATAAAAGAATCTTAAAATGAATTCTAAAACACACCGGCAGCCAATGTAGAGAAGCCAAAATGGGTGTGATATGGTCCCTTTTGCGCCCTCCAACCAGTAGACGAGCAGCAGCATTTTGGACTCTCTGAAGGCGGGCAAGGGACGCCTGACTGAGCCCAAAATATAGCGCATTACAATAATCCAGACAAGATGTAATGAATGCATGTATTACTGACTCGAAATGCTGCCACGAAAGAAAAGTCTTTACCTTCGCCAGCTGCCGGAGATGATAAAAACTGGCCCGTACAGCCA